AATTCAATTCCAGCTAACTCTGTAGGATCGTCAATTAACTCTCCATTTCTACCGGCTCTTATCCATTCAACAGCTTCATCATTTTGAATGTCATCAAATATCACACCACTGTCGTTGCATATCTCACTTTGTAAATGAGTATCAACATCACCAACTTCTTCATCCATATCGTAGAAATCTCTCGGAACAGTTTTGATAACCACCTGCCAGTCCTGATCGATGGGATCTTGGACATAAAATACTTGTTGGGCCTGAGAAGCCATCACGAAAGGCTCTTTATTCCTCAATCGTTGCGCAAAATTAACCAAGGTGAAACCTAAGTCATCTTGTTTCAAACCTCTGCCACTTGACACCCAATCACACTTGAATAACACCACTTTCTTACCAACCCAATGATCCAATTCCAATATCTCCCGAAGTACTCCATAATAACTTACCTCACTGTATATTGGATTCCTGTCTCGAGCACTGGCATAACTTTGAGTACTTGCAGTTACCAGAACTCCACTATTTTGTGTTTTCCTTCTTTTCTCCAAGTCTTTGATGTGAAATCGAAAGCCATTAATTATCCATCCCGTATACTTTCTACATACAGGAAATGGTGGTTGAGCTAAATGTTTCAACTCCTCAGCTAAATATCCATTTGCTATTGAGCCTTCTGGATGAGCTTTGTTACCAACATATGACTTCAATTTAGATAGGTACCTAAAACAATAAAACATACAGAATCAAGAGGGAAAGAAATGTACCAAAATAATTATAACTCTTAAGCAAACCTTGTTGAATAATCAATAAGAACAATACATACCGCTCAACTGGATACATCCATCGTGCTTGTACCGGCCCGCCAAGCTTGGTCTCATTCACCAAATGCACAGTTAAATGAACCATTATGTCAAAAAATGATGGTGGAAATATTCTTTCTAAATGACACAGAGTTAAAGCCATCTTCTCTTCTAAACGATTCAAGTTCTGCACACGACCAACCTTTGAACATAATTCCCTGAAGAACAAGCTTAATTGTATCAAAGGCTTGCTGACTTCTTTAGGTAATATCCTTCTTATGGCCAAAGGAAGAATTTGCTGCATTAGGATATGGCTATCATGGCTTTTCAGAAGAGAGATTTTTCTTTCCTTCAAGTTCACACACCTTGATATATTGGCAGCATACCCATCAGGAACTTTAACACTCTTTAATACCTTACACAATCTTTGCTTCTCTTTTTTATAGAGGGTGAAAGTTGCATCAGGCATGTATACCCTACCAGAACCATCTCTTTTCAGGTGTAACTCCTTTCTTATTCTTAGTAATTGCATGTCCTTTCGGGAGTTAACAGTGTCCTTCGTCTTCCCTTTCACATTTAGTAATGTAAAAAGAATGCTATCACAAACATTCTTTTCAATATGCATCACATCCAAGTTATGTCTCAAGATGTTATCCTTCCAATATGGTAGGTCAAAGAACACACTCTGTTTCTTCCAACCATATGGTAGAGGATCGCTTTGGCTCAACTTTCCAAATTTGACTTGTTTGCCTTGCAGCTCATCCAGTACCTCTGACCCAGACAATGGCTTTGGTGGAGGCCTAAATTCTTGACTATTATCAAAAGTAATCTTATGTCGTCTAAACACATGCCCAGCATGCAAAAATCTGCGATGGCCTAAGTAACAGAACTTTCTACTATACTTCAACCATTGAGAGTGTGTGTTCTTATGACAATAAGGACATGCCAAACGACCTTTCGTACTCCATCCTGATAACATTGCATGACCTGGGAAGTCACTGATAGTCCACATTAAGGCTGCCTTCATCCTAAAATTCTGCTTCAATGATGCATCATAAGTATCTATACCCTCATTCCACAAATCTCTTAACTCATCAATCAAAGGCTGCAAATATACATCTATGTCATTTCCAGGAGACGTAGGTCCAGGAATGAGCAGCGACAAAAACATGTACGATTGTTTCATGTATAACCAAGGAGGAAGGTTATAAGGGATTAAGACAACTGGCCATGTGCTGTGAGATGAACTCATTGACCTAAATGGATTGAAACCATCTGCAGATAAACCCAATCTAACATTGCGAGGATCTGAAGCAAACTCTCCATGTCTAAAGTCAAAAGTTTTCCATGCCGGAGAATCTGCAGGATGCCTTAAGTTTCCATCATTTGTACGTCCTTCTTTATGCCAACGCATAGAAGAAGCTGTTTTTGATGACAGAAACAATCTCTGCAGCCTCTTTCCTATTGGAAAATACCAAAGCTTCTTATAAGGAATGTTCTTCGGCTTTTTCTTTGATGATCCAACAACTTCACTGGGTTGATTTTTCCATCTATCAGCTCCACACACAAGACACTTTGACTCATTTTTATGGTTTTTCCAAAACAACATGCAATCGTTACGGCAAGCCTCGATAACTTCATAGGTCAAACCTAAGTTTGATATCAACTTCTGAACCTCATAATAAGATTCAGGTAAAGTGTCGCCCTCTGGAAGTACTTCTCTTAGTAGCTGTAATAACATACTGAATGATTTGACAGACCAGTTTCCAAGACACTTTAGGTGAAATAACTTAATGATGAAAGAAAGCTTGGAATGGCTTGTACAACCAGGATATAATTCAGTTTCATTTGCTTCCAGTAACTCAAAGATTTTACGAGCCTCGGCATTCGGTTCTTCTGATACCTCTGTTTGGACACCCATGACAATATCATCTAGCAAATCATGTATATCAGCATTTGTATCCCTATGATTCTGGTCTGAATCATCCATTTCAGGTGAAGCATGAAATGTACTCTCCCCATGTAAAATCCAACGAAAGTAATTGGGAACAAAGCCAAAGCAAATTAGGTGATCATGTACCTCACTTTGAGACATCCAAGTACGATTCGAACAATTCTTGCATGGACATAGAATTTTACCATCACGAGAACATGGCGAAGCAAATGCATATGCAAGAAAATGATTTAATCCGTGTCTATATTCATCACTAGTTCTTGGTTTATTCATCCAACTTTTATCCATCTTGAACACCTAAAAACAAATCGAATAAATTCAACAACCATGTCACTCATTTGCATTCCACGAATCAAATCAGCAAGCATAAATTTCTCCCTAGCTCCATACATTTAAAGTAAAACTAACGAGAAGCGAAAGAAGCCGTTGTTGAACAAAGAAGTAGCAGGTACCTGATGGCTGCTGATGCAATTCGCCGGCGAGAAAGGACGGTGTCGAGCAGGCGGATGGTTTGGAGGCTGCTGCTGTTGTCTCCTGTGGCTATCTGCGGCTGCTGTTTGCTATAGATGGAGAGGTAGTTGGAACTTGGGAGAAGAAAATGATGATGGGAAGGGATTGTTTTGGTTCGAAAATTAGGGATTAGGAAAGGGAGTCGGACAGGCTACCAGCCAAACACTGCCGTTTTTTTATTTTGGTTGAATTGCTTATTCTTTTCCCCCAACGGAAGCAAAACATGTCGTTTTGGAGAAACATAAATTAGCCTTTTGTTTTGGACATAAACATGGGAATTAGATGACCCACCATTACCTTTTTCTAATCATGTTACTCTTGTAGTCTTTTTTTAATCACTATTAGTCTTCTATTTAAACAAGAACACGTGTAACCCAACATTGCTTCTAATGGTATACATTTATATAGTTATTTATAATAATAAGATTGAGTTATTACAATCTTGCTGTGAATTGATAACTTTTTAAAAGTGGAATATGAATATTTGAAACGCAATAGCTATAGCGACCAACATTAAGAATCTATTGAGGCAAAAATAAATTATTAGTCATTTTAAAGCATTTGGAGGTGGAAAAGACAATAGCTATAGAGGCTAATTATTTATTTGTAGTATATCTAATATTTTTAGAGGCACATAATTATATCTATTGAGGCAAATTATATATTTGTTGCATATGATATTCATTTAGAGGCAAATACAATATTTGCCTCAATAATTAGCCGCTATATATGGGTTTTGTTGTAGTGTCAATGACTTGGAAATGGAATTGACAGGCAAGAGAACGGGCGTGTGACCGAGTATATTCAAAAACCACTTGGTTAAGAGATTTCCAGATTCTCCAAAAAAGGCTAACGCATGGGAGAATGTGGGTTTGGAAGTTTACTGAAAACATAACATTGTCGCCACCATATACTAAAGTTAGAAGTTTGGGCGGAAACAAGCAAATCATTTAATCCCACTAAAAGTCCATAGCATGATGACAAGAGGGCAATGAAAGAACAAATGTTCAATAATCTCTTGATATTCCCAACAATCTAGATATTTGAGAAAGCAATTTACTTCATGAAATTGAAGAGCCACCATAGTTTGCAATGTCGTTTAACATAATACAAATATAATTTAAAATAATACAAACCATTCTTAGTGGAAAGCCATATCCGCACCCACAGACCCACTCTTCAACTTTGTCGTGATTTATTAACCCTAATTAATTTTCTAACAAAAAAATTTGTCATACCATTTGGCAAGAAACCAAAAATTGAATTTTAGAATTCACATTCTACTACTGATGGGCCTCAAATTAAAATGAATTGAAGAAAATGTCATCAATTCTAATAAATTGAGCTAATGACTCATTAAGTTAATTGTTGGCTAAACACAAAAGGAATTGGAAATAATTATTAATTAATGATGTTTTTAACCATAACCCAAAATAATGGGTGTCTTTCAATCCGACGAGTAAATGCTCATAAAATTCTAACGGATGAAACTCTTCCGATGAGGATGAAGTTTGCCACTGATACTTTGAAAGCCAGAAATTAATTATGAAAGTCATAAATTAATTCTTTCTATCCCATAATTTGAGATATAAATCAACCATAAAGGTCGTAGAGCACCATAAAATGATCGCTTTAGTGACTCATTAATCACTTGTAACGGATCATTAAAGACCCAATAACATCAAATAACATAACTGAAGTATTAAAACCAAATAGGACGAAACGGACCAATGGGGCCATTAATTGATTCTTTACTTCTCGCCTGAGGAAAATTGATTGCAGGGACCGCCGGACCAACAAAGTCGCCGGAGGCAAGAGTTTCCAGCTTTATCGCCACCGCCGTCTCCGGAACCAATCTTCTCCGCCGCGGAGGCCTTCCTCTTCTTCGCGGCAGCAGCGTAGCTCTTCCCATGGAAATCAACAAAAAGCGCCAGAAGCGAAGCATTGAAAACGGCATTGAAGCACCACCCCCACATACCAGAGCACCCGCCGCCAGCAAAATGGTAGTACAGCATCAGCCCGGAGATACAGAAGCTTGTTCTCCTAACCTAAGATCGATTTACGCACTGGAAACATAGGCTTCAATCTTGTTGATCGATTCCTTCGCCGAGGATGTTGAAGCTCGAATGGAAGAAGGTTTTGTGATTTGATTTTTGGAAGATGGATCCCGCAGTGACGAGATTTCGCGATTGAGAGAGGAGATCCAGAAATCTTCGTTAATGCCGACACCGTCACTAAGAGGGACTCTACTCTCTTGGCGATCGATTCGAATGTGAGAAGGAAGCTCGACTTGTTGGAGCAGGGATTCAACGGCGACAGAGATCGAAATCAATTTGAGCACTCACTCTGGTTCGCTGCTTCACCGATTCAACCGATGGCGGGAGCTAAAGGATGGTAATGAATCTGCAGTTGATTCCGCGGGGGTAATAATTGAGGAAGAGAAAAAGGAAGAGCGACGGACGACGGAAGGGTTAGAGAAATCTACTCACAACTTACCTTGTGAGTAGTTTAACTTTTTCGCACCACACCCAACAATAAAAGGTTTCATGTAGGTGCTAAAGATTATAATGTGTTTGCCTTTAAACAACTCTCAAATAGAAAGGATTGTGTAGTGGCAGACCCTGCAAAAGAGCAGGGCCGTCAAGCTCAATGAATATTATGAGCTATAACTGCGAGGGATTGGGAACCCTGAGCGGTTAGGGAACTGGAGTGGATGCTCCAAAGAAAAAACCCCACAGTGCTCTCATGATGAAGACAAAAAGGCAAGGCAATGAATGGGAGGAGTTGATTGCCTCTCTTGGTTGGGAAAAGGGAAGAGGATTAGGTTCAATAAGAAGGGTAGGAGGATTACTAGTACCCTTTATTTCATTAATTCTTAGAGAATTCTTGTCACTTAATAAATATAGAATTATATGTACTTTTGCTCCTCAAACTATTATGTTTTGCCTAGTGAAGTCCCTAAATAATATTTGTTCTATTCATGTCCTTAAGCTGCATTTAATTTTCTAAATCAGCTCATTTCAACGGTTGAGCGTTAGTCAATAGTTAAATAAGAAGATTGGACAGGGACGCAACAATTACAAACATTAAAATAATGACAATACCTTATTTACCCTTCTTCCCTATATTATGACATGCCTTATACTTCATCCCCCACTCTGGTGCCTCCATTTTCCCTAATTGCCAATTAATATTTTCTTTCTTTATCTCTCTCGTTAATTAATTAGTTCCTTAACGAATCAACACGGTGTGGCTCTTGCGTTTGGTACTCGGTATTTTTCTACTGGACGGTAAGGTACGATCAACGATGTCTAAAACGGTGGAAAATATTTCACATTATCATAATAATACTCCTACACGAGTGATGTATCATGTACCACAGTGGTACATTTATCAATTGTAGTTTGCTTGATTTCGCTAGTGTGTTTGATACTTTGATTCCATAAAGTTTTTAGTAAATTTGGTTTAAGTGGATTTATTTTGTCATTGATTCTACTAGCTAGGCTAGCCAACTGACCAAAAGTTATTTATAAAAAGGGGGCATTGGCACAAATGTTCAGACTTCCTCCTACCATGTGCAATAGTCGATAAAATACATAGATTGATAAGCCAAAAACAAAATGATTCATTTGACTCGGTGTGCTTAAGGGATTTAAATAAACATACTCATTTGAATTTCATAATAACACGTTAATGTGACGTGAAATGAAAAGATTTAGAAGAGAATATCACAAAATTATCTCACACTTAATAACTCATATAGAATGTAAATAGAATGATTAGAAGTTATCAACATACAGACAATCTATTTCTCTAGTGTGTTGTTGTTTCATAAATCACCATTGAATTGAGTAATTTCTTTTTTAATTATTACCCTGGAACCTCAGCCCCACGTGCCATTTTGTGACAGCGGGGCTTATTAAATTTGGGGACCACATGCAATCAAATTCGACGCCAACGGGGCTTAGCCCCTAGCAGCATGGTACCTTCGAGAACACCAATGGGCCTCGCTTAGATTCGAACCTGAGATCTGCAACTATCAATCCTTCACTGTTGCGGTAGCTTTATCATTAGGCTATCTTACATTTGGTCATTGAATTGAGTAATTTCACATAAAGCTATTTTTGACATTTTTTTTTAATGTTTTGGTATATTGCTACAACGCTTATGAAAAGTATCTAAATCTCTCTTGGTGAGTAATCACACAAACACAAATTGTTTAATTTTCATTTATCAAATTAAGTTATTCCAACTGACGAGCTGAAAAATAATCTAATGAAAAAGAAAAATGGCCATTAAGTAGAAAAATTATTAGTAATTTTGGTTACAATCTAATATTATCAGCAATTTTTCCTACCACACTTTAATATTTTGTCAAGAACTAGTGGTAAACGATGGCGAAATATGGCAAATGATAGTTAGTATATTTCCAAGATTTTGGATATAACTATTCGATAGTATGATATATTCATACTATCATGGTAAATTTTATACAGCATATTATAATTTGATGTACTACAAAACATTATCATCATGACATAGAAGGATAATATATGCAATATGCCTCAATATTTTGGTTCAAAATATGATAGTGGATATCATTTTTAAAAACATAATTAATATGATTTTCCTATAAAAAGTTCCAACATAAAACAAAATAAATATAACACATTAAACTAAATTTGAAGAAAAATTATGCATATTCAGTAACCAACCAGATTACTAATGAGATCCGCTACCAGCTGAGTATGATGTTATCACAATGGTACTCGAGTTTGGGCAAAAGAACGTGAAGATAGGTCATCATAATTGGCCTAATGGCCTTACAATCAACATCCTTCGTTCATGATGAATTTATGCGCTAAGGTCAAGGTTTCTCTGCTGTTTGCCTATTTCTAATGGCCTTGGGTTCTTTGTGCCTTGTTGACTTGTTTGTGATATACGTTGATATGTTTTATTGTTTTAGCTTAATGGTCAACATTTTACTACCATTCGCTTGCGCCTGCAATTCTTGTTTGATTCAAAAAACATGGTAAAAGTTGGAATAAACTCGGTCTCTACTGTTGGTTTAGAAACTATAACGTAAATTGTACATTATTGCAACTATTGTGTAAAATAAAGAAAGCAATAATTCATTAAGAAGAAGAAGGGAGGGGAGTTGGCCATAGAGGGTTGTCACATATGATTGTTGATGGTTTCACCCTGATTGATTGTGGCATCAGGATGCAATTGCAATTTGGGTCACCCAAAGCCCCAAGAACCTTCAAAGCTCTGGTCCTCAGGTTCAACAGGGCAATTGAGTTGTGAGATCTGAGGTACACCTCCTGTGGATCATCTGGATTCATTGTCACGAATGCAATCCATCGAAACACGATCCAACCTACCCGACGCCCACTCGGATTGTACACATGCATCATGTCAAACTCCTCCGCCATCTTCCATTTCTTTCCCGAAGCTCTATAAATCTTCAGCTTCTTTCTACTATAGAGGCTTCCTGCCCACAAGCAGCCCTTGCTAACGCACATCGCATCCAAAAACACATCAGGAACAATTCTAGGATTTGGTGGCCGTATAGCCCCAATCACTGCATCAACTACATTGTTGATGGGATCGTAGACAACCGCTTGGGTGTCCTTGAACAACCAACACAGACGGGGGCTGCCGTTCTTCTTCAGTATAACTGCAACGACCATCTTTGTTGGATAGTCGGGCCCAATCGACCGTGGAAGGGATGGCACGGTAGTGGCTGTCCATTGCCAGGATTTGGATGAGAAGACTTGCAGCTCGAGGGAGCGTCTGCGTCGAGATTTGAACTCGCGAGGGAGACGCACGATCTTGAACCAACAACCACCATCGGAATCGAAATCGGAGACGAAGCTGACATGGGCGGCATGTGGGAAAATGGAGGAGGAGAAAGGAGGCGGGGGATGGACTTGAAGCCACTGCTTGGTGTGAGGGTTGCAGACCACGTAAATGGGTGCGAAATCATCGAACACGGGGCCCTTTCCGGGCGTTTGTGTGAAGAGGAGAGGCGCACAGAGAAGTAAGCCGTTGGACGACCCTAGGATCAAGTCCCTGGTCGTATAATAATTCGGCGGGTGCCACTTGCACAAGCCGTTGGACCCTAGGATCACCCTCTTCTGGTTCTCCTTCAAGTTCTGAGGCACTCGTTGGAGAAGATCATTGTAAGTATCAACTCCGTGTAGCTGTGAGAAGTCTGGAACGAAATCAAGGGAGAATTTGAGTCTTGTCCTTTCATTCTTGTGGCGGCCTTTATTATTGGGGATCAGGACGGCTGATCTTTGTTGGGGATGGGAGTTGAGGTTGCAACTGAATGTTGTACTCTTCTTCTTCTGTTTCTTCCTTTTCTTACTCTGCTTCTTCTTCTTGTTCGTGTAGTAAGTTGAAAAGAGAGGGTTTTGGATGAGTGAGAGCCAGTTTTTGCAGACAGATTTGCAGCGGAAGATCTGATCCAGTGGGAGACGTATCAGAATTTTCGTCAATAACTCTTCCGGAACAGCATTGTTAATCAAACAGCAAGAGTGACCTTCTCCTCTGTTATTCTTTCTAGTCACCTTCTCTGTCTTCTCCATCCCTTAACCAACCAACCAACTACCGAAACCCTACAACAACAAACACACCACCATTCGAAATTGTTATTAATCCATTGATTCATAGTTGATTGATAATGGGTACTGCTCATAAAAGCTTCGTTTCGTTTCAAAATCCCAAAGAAACGATCCATCACTTTTCTAACAGACTGAAAGAAAGTGTTGTATCTCGGTACAATGAACAATTAGGACCAAGAAAAACCCACATTCCTTCCCAAAGCAAACCCGTTCAAATTTAAGTTCAATCGCATACGAAGGGGTAAAAGAGATACCTAAATGCCGTCGATTTTCCCTGCTGGAGCGGTGTGACCGGAGATGAATTGCCTACTCCGAGAAGCGGCAAATCGGTTTTCCTGTTGTTGATTCAAGAAAGAAGGACGCAGAGAGAGAGACTAGACTTGAGAGAAGAGCCAGGTTTGAGAAACAATGAGAATCTGAGTAGGAGACTAACAACGGCGAGTAGAGCGAGTGGAGTCAGGCCCGTTCGTCGTAGGCCAGCCCGAAAATAACGCTGGACAAGAAAATTATCGGCCCAAGAAAACGCGCGCGGCGAACAAAGAAGAAGGAATCTCGTCTCCCTTGAAGCCTTCCACTCTTTCTGATTCTGATCACAGCCAGCATTAACTGATTCAAGCCACGAGCCCCTGTAGAAGAAACCGAAGCAAATAGTGTTGGAGGTTCGGTTATCGGTTAACCGACCGGTTATCGGGCAAGTAGGACTGGAGGTTTGGTTATTGGTTAACCGGCTGGTTATACCGATAACCAGCGGTTACCGGTTAACTAACTAACTGAAAAGAAATTCCGCGGTCGGTGTTCGGTAGGGGATTAGATGTGGCGGTTAACTGATAACCGTCGGCTAACCGACACATCTAACCCCTCTCATTTTCACAAAACGGCTTCGCCCCCACTCTTTATTCGTAACCCTAATCGTCGACGCCACCCCTTTCTCCTTATGGCCTTCTCTGCATCATGACTCCCTGCCCTGCCTCCCAAGCTGCGATTGCGAATGGTGACTCCCTCTATCTCGTTCTCTTCTTCCCAGGCGGTTCTTCAACACATCTGGGAGGCGGATGATTAGGGGAAGCGGCAGCCCGAGCCCGCGAAGTAAGGTGAGCCCCAGCCATCGACACGATAGAGAGCGGCAGAGAGATCGGGCGACCAAGCGGTGGCGATGTCCCCGGAAGGAGGAGCTGGGATGGTGTTGGCGGCAGCGATTATTGCCGGAGGAACACCGGAAAATCCCAGCGGCGAGCCATCCTCTGCGCCCAAAACGTAGCCTGGTGGGATAACAACAGATAAAACGCAACACTTATCCCCTGCTTTTTTATTTTCTTAATTATTTTTTATTTTATAATTTTTCTATTTTAATTTTGGGCAATGTCTATTTTTTACCCAAACCTTTTTCAGATTCTTTTATTTTAACCAAACCTATTGAATTCCTAAAAATTATCCAAACGTTAACTCTCCGTCAACTTTTCTGTTAGTAATGCTGACTAAGTATGACCATAATGAGTTGACTTCCTACGTGGCGGTCAGAATACCATCATTTACTATTTTTAATAAAAAGATTATAAAAAAACAAAACAAAATCCCACCCCCCACGTGGACGAAATAAGTAACGGTAACAGAATGAATGCCCAGACTTTGATAAATTATAATACGTTTGGATAATAAATAGAATTTCTATAGGTTTGGTTAAAATAAAAGAATATGAAAAAGGTTTGGGTAAAAAATAGACATTTCCCTTTAATTTTTATTTAGTTTTAGTACAAAATATGATGTGTCAATGACGTGGCATCTATGTGGCTGCCACGTCAACAAAAGTCAATGTTAATGTTGACTTCCGTTTGGTCAACCGTTATCTATAACGGTCAACGAAATCGTCAGGATATAAATGACATACAACTATCATACGTTGTGACACAAATGTCATATCGAATACTTTAGGACACAAATGACACAAAGTTAATAGTTCGGGTTTCCCAGTGGTATTAGCCCTTAAATCTATTTTCTATGCAAAAGTGATTGAAACTTGATTTTTGGAGTGATTTAGATGTAGAAATGTAGGGTTGAACGTTTAATTTTAGGCAATTTTAGCGATCTTGCTCGTGTAGGAGGGCTGTCCGGTTCGATTACTCGATTATAACCGAATTGACTGTGTTGTTGTGGTTAGCTCGGTTAACCGAGCAACTAACCCGTAACCGACCGACAATTGTCGGTTGACTGAGGGAACCCTGTCAGCCGGTTGGCGGTAGGGTCTGCTGGCTACTCGGTTAACCGGTAACCGATCGGTCGGATACCAGTTATAACCGAAATAACCGAACCTCCAGCCCTCGAAGCAACAAACACAATCCAGGCAAGCTCTGGAGAACACTGAAAGAACATGTGGTTTCCTTTGATTTCCCACCTCTTCTTTGATGACGACTCTTATCTCTTCTTACAAGCCTCTCGAGCTTCTTGTTCGAACCTTTTATCCTTATTTCTTGTATTTCTGAGTTCTTGGGGTGTAGAGTCTATTACAAAAAGAAATGGGATGGGTTAGGTTGGTTTAAGGAAGCTTTTGGTTTGCCTACAAAGAAGGAAGCCCCAGTGTCGGTTAGACAAAATCAGAAAGCTAATGGGTCGTTCACTTGCCATTTCGTTTACTATAGATTCTGCAACAAAAAACAAATTAAAATGGAAACAATACTGTGGTTTCCTGGGAAACAAAACCTAAAGAAAACTTGTTTAGTTGAGAATTTGGATGAGTTCTGAAACTGAATACTAAAAATGAACTCATTTAGTTACATCATATTGTTTTCTGATACTTAATTACTACAATTTTGTTCATTGAGTATCATACAACTTTAGTCATGATTATAATTTTTAATACAAATCACATAGTTTTCAAACCACTAATAAACACATATAAGCCTTATATCAAATATGAATCACATAGTCTTTTATTATTATTTTTTATAATTGGCCTATATATTAAAATGACCATCCTTTTAAAGATGAGGGGCTAAACAAATTGGGGGGGACCAAATCTCCATCTCCTCCCACTTACATTTCGCCCTAGCCATTACGTCTGCTCCTTCATTTCCATTTCTTCCTTAAAATCTCCAATTGATGTTGCCCCAATTCATTGCAAAGTCTCAAATATCCTCACACAAATTCGGGATCTCCAAATTTGTTGCGTCGAGACGATCAAGCTTCTAGATCAAAGACTGACAATCGCTCTCTCACAGCATCAGAAGAAAATGATTCGCCGTAGCAAATTTCATCCCCAAATTCAGAGCTTGGGCTTCTGCCATTTCCGGTGGACAATTCGTGCAAGTCTGATGAATCGCACCCATGTGGAAACGACCTTCAGCATCCCGAATCACCAGCCCGTATCCAGTTCCTCTTTCATTCAAGCAAGTTGAATTTGTGTTCACCTTAAAGATACCCGGCGGTGATGGCTCCCATTTGTAGAAAAATCTATGAATGTACGACTTCCTTCCTTTGCTTTGCATCTGCTGATATTCCTCTAGGTAATTTTGTGCCCTTATCACTACCTCCCATTCATTGATCTAATTATTATTAAACGTGTGGTTGTTGCACTCTTTCCATAGAAAGGGTAATCAATACTTGGGGCAGTTCTTCCTTTCTGGTTTCTTCGATCAAATCGCAGATCCATTCTTCACATTTCTTTCCTTCCCCAATTGAGAAGAAATTCTCTAGGAAACTAGGTTCTAGATCCTTCCTGCCCAATTGCAGTCCCTTATGATGTGTTCTTGAGATTCTTTTAATCCACAGAAAAGGGCATTCATTGTTCGCTTCTGATATCCTTCAGCTCAAATTAGCCCCCTGTAGGTAAGATACTGCTTCCCCATCTCCAAATTAAGATTCTTACCTTCGGGGGCAAGTCCAGAGACCATAAAATTTTCCAATCCACCAGGACATATCTTTCCTCCTGATTCAAATATCATTTTATCCTCCATTCCTTATATCCTGAGCATAACAAATATCTTCCTGATTTATCTCTGCCCCCATACTCGAGTGTTTGGTATGTTTTGAGTTGGTAAAGGAATTTGTTTGATTCGGCCTCCGTCAACATGTTGGAAATTGGTTTGGTGTAGGTTGCTTTTCCATGTTCAAGAGTGTTGGTCAATCAAACTCAATACTTTCTATGTGAGATTCATACCCTGTACTGATGTTTGGATTTTCAAATCCTCAACTGCAGTAATCCAGCGATCCCACCATATTATGACGCTTTCATCAAGTGGATCCTTTTATCCTCCTTCTTTCTTCCCACTAGAAGCTTACAATCATGCTTTGTATTTCTTGTATTACATTGGTATTAGGAAGACTGACATAGCATAGAGTGTTTGTGCTTGTACTGCAGCCTTAATCAACACTTCCTTAGCAGCCCCTGAAAGTAATTTACCCTTCCACTGTTTGATTTTATCTCTTACTCGATCAATAAGCTGTGCAAACATTGCTTTCTTCGCTCTTCCAATTATTATGGGTAATCCCAAGTATTTGTTATGATATATCATCGTCGTCTTAATCCCCATTATTTCAACCATTCTTGTTCTGACGGCTTCGTTGACATTAACACTAAAAGATAGTTATAATTTGCTAGGATGTCTTGAATTGTTTCTCCCACTTCTTTTTTGTTTTCAAAGAAAAATACGTTGTCATCAGCAAAGAATAAGTGGGAGATCATAGGCTCATTACTGCTGACTTTTATCCCTTTTAGTATCCCTTCCTCTACAACCTTCTTTGTAAGAGCTGACAAACCTTTCGCACAGAGTAGAAAAAGGTGGAGATATGGGATCTCCTTACCTTAATCCCCTTGAGGGTTTGATAGTCTGTGTTTGATGACCATTGACCAAAGTAGAATAGCTGACAGCCATCACACACTGCATAATCAGCTTAACCCATTCTTCATGAAAACCCAATTTGAGCATGATTCCTTTAACCAAATTCCACTCCACCCCATCGTAGGCTTTAGATATATCCAATTTGATTGCTATATAGCTCTCCTTTACTTCCTTCCTATTCTTCATCGCATGGAAGCACTCAAATGCTACAAATTATGTTTTCTGTGATGTTCCTTCTGGGTACAAAAGTACTCTAAGTCTCTGTAACTACTTCATCCAACACCCTCTTGAGCCTGTTGGCTAGAACCTTCGATAAGATTTTATATAGGACCTTGCTAACAAAGTATGGTTGAGAGTAGGTGGTATTGTGCCTGTGAGCAGTATTATTTTAAGTTCTAGGCATAAAGTATCCCCCACAATCGCCCAAATTTTCTGGAAAAATAACTCTGGGATCCCATCCGACCTTGGGGCTTTTGTTGGAGCTATCATTTTCAGTGCCTCCCAAATTTCCTCCCTCGAAATAGGTCCCATCAGCAGCATCTCATTCATTTG